TGTAATGTATTTATTTATTTGATTTGTTTTAAATTTTTATTTTTTTTAATTTATATAAAAAAAAATTTATATATTTAATATTAGACAAATTTCATATATCTACTTAAAACCCAACATTCCCCATGAGTATAGAGATGGAGGCTATTTTTGGTCCAGCTAAAAATTCTGAAATCTCCATACCCACCACTAGCACCCGCCCCTGTAGACCCGTTTTCATCCCTAAATACATCCTACAGTATTAGTGTTTTCTATTTTTTTAGGCTGAACCCACAGTTTTAGCTTAAAATGAATAGATTAGAGATCTAAACAAAAGAGAATAATAATAATAGAATCTCTAAAAGATTCAGAATCAACATACTGATTTATTTGTTGCTGTTAAAAAAAAAAAAACCGAAGTGACGGATAACAAGAGAACTTGTTTTACATCCGAATTGTATCAGATTGTAAATCAGCTACTAAAGGAGAAAAAAAATCCCCGATATCAAGCTAATCCCATCCAATAATTAATAATTAATATTGTGCAGAGTAAACTATTCAAGCATAACAGTTTTTTCTAATAACAATAGCTATTCTTTTAAATAACCAGAAAGCAGGGACAGTTACTAAAAAACTTTATAGATTGTCTTCAGATTAACCTCGACAGCCGATTTATTGGTTTTTGGCGGTGGAGGCATCAGCGTCAGAATCAAAGGAAGATTCCTTGTCGGCACCGCCGTCTTTGTGCGGATCGACCACGTCGTCAGGATCGCGGCTAGGGTCTGACTTGTCCATGGCGGTCCGAGCCTTGTGGAGGAAGGGCTTGAACGCCAGCTCTATGGCCATCCACCCCAGTGCAAGCGCCCCGAACACCACAATCACTTGCTTCATCTTCCTCGACTTCTAAGTGGTTTTTGAGGCCGATATGCTCCCGTGAAATGATGACTTTGCTGGTGAGAGAGGCTTTCGACGCTGATATGCTTCCGTGAGGATATGACGATTTACTGGTGAGAGTACGAGCTAAGGAACCTCGTGGAGCCCACAACGTTTGCGTTTGGTACTCAACGACGGTCAATATTTAAGTTATGGATTTTATTAGGTGATTTAAATTAGGGCTTTAAGTTAAATTTTAACTATAATAATATCGTTATAATATTACATATAATTATAAAATTATAATTATGATAATATTAATAAATAAATATGTATAATATCAAGTAATAATATGTATAACTTTTTTATATAATTTTATTATAAATAAATATAATATCACGAGTTTTAATAAAAAAAAAAAAAGCCAATTAATCATTAAACGGCGGGTTTAATGAAATGGTTGAACAAAAAATTTATGTCTCAATCACTTTCCATACATGCTAGAATACATTTCCTTCCAAAAGATGCATAGACCCATTTCCATGAATACATATTTAAACAAGGTGCATTGCTTTAAACAGGGGAAGCCCTTAAGGTTAATGCATAAATGCAATTTAAAATTTTCACCAGCAACACTGCAGTTTAGCGAAATAAATGCAAATGAATTCAATTTGAAAATTTCACCAACAAAAATGCCAAGGCATCGTATAGGATTATTATAATCCAACAATGCTATCTTTTCAGGTTTCTTTACCTTTTCTTTTAATGTTTGAAGGATATATATCTACTGAAAAGATATACTACATACAGATCAATTTTTGATTCATTTTTGATAGCTTTGTAAGAAATTAACATGATGGTTGAAAATTCTGAATTCATGATCAAGATTAAGCATCATAAGGCAAATAGTAAAGAAAAAACCTAGCAGACACTCCTTCAAAGGTTCCATAGATCAACATAACCTCCCTACTACAAATGGTGTTTATATATCCAGGTCTTACAAAAATTCGGACAGGATGGCAGGATATCTAACGGCCTCTTCCACGTCCACGGCCACGGCCACGACCCCGACCACGTCCCACTGGTCTCCCTGAAGTCAGAAGAGCATTAGCAAACATTCAGATACCTATATAAATCATGATATTAAAAATAAATAGAGATGAAACCACACAAATATGTCCATACCAGCTGTTGCCTTCTTGGGTTTCACCCTGGGTGTCTCTTCAACCAGCAGTGTCTCAAGATTCAGGCTGTCAGGCAGGATATAATAGCGAATGTTGTTACCCCTCACACTAAGGTGATCCAAACTCACTGGATTTTTCCCCTTAAGTGTAAGTTTCACTGTTTTCAGATGTGTGTTCATACTTACATCCACACCTATAACAAAACAAATCCAGAGTCAAAATATTGCATCTATATGAATATATGCTATGATAAACTTTATTAGTAAGTCCAAGTATTGTTATAATGTTCATCATGTAAACTGCCTGTTGCCTAGCTTTTGCCTAGACTTCAGCTTGATAATAAGAAACCTTCTGATGATAGAAATATGAAACAGAAAGGATATCAGAAATAGTGTCCACCAAAGAAAACTAACGTGGGCTGAAAATAACTTAGTTACAGGTAAAGTTACAGAAAAGCATTTTCTTCTTTCCAGAAGAAAAACAACTTTAAAGTTTCATGAGCATTCCAAACAGAGGGTAATTTCAATGCTTTAAGCCTTTAACCAATTAGGACCTGAGAAATAATTCACAAATTTAAGGAGATAAAAGCCAACAGAAATATCATAAGACCTATCCATTCATTGGACTCCTTGGACTTGGACTCTTATGTCACAGAAACAGGCAAGACAAGGACACAGATGTCCATGCAAATAAATGATTTATTTCATAGACATGAGAAGTTTAACACATATGCCGTTGTCCAACTCTACAGACATGGTAACGAGCGTCCCCTATATATCAGTTAAGTACATTGGCCTTTCCCATAGAATACCTCCTAGTAAGAAAAGTCTTAGTTACTCAGCAGATGAATTAATTTCTTAGCCCCTGACAACCAGCAGGACACTTCACTTGCACTTCAACACAATCTATGTGGTTCACCAGTCAAGAAATGTTTCCGCAATTGTGTCATGCCAACACTCAGCAGAATAGTATTTCAGCTGCAAGAATAGTTCATCCTAGAACATGACAATAACGGATTCAAATAATGAGAACCTCAAATCACTCAAGTTAGAGTTTGAGAAAACAATATTCCTACTCCTTGAATACATAATCCACACAGAAGTAAAACCAGGGAAACAGAAGCTTCCTGTTCTTAAATTTGCTTAAAGAAATTGCATTATGTCATGCTTTAAATTTCAATCTAGTCAAAAGTGCATGCAATTGCAGCATCCTCCAATTACCAGTACCCTAAAAGGGAGAATTCATTGGCCTATTACTCCTAAGCTCTCATTCTGTAAAATAAAGCAAAGTTTTAACTAGAGAATTAACTATTTTAGCAGACCTACCAAAATTTCCAAATAATGGTTATGCACCAATCTCCAATTTCAGTGGAAATATTACACAGGAACCTCCTGCTGTAGCTAAAATAATGACAAGGCACACTTCACTTGAAGCACATGGGAAATCATATCAACACTCGGAAATCACATAAAACTACTCCCTCTGTTCATTTTGAGTAGTCCTCGCTTGACCTTTTGACCTTTTGAACATGCATATTAAATCAAAATTTAACAACTGATATCAACAATAATTGAATTTTTTTTTTCCTATATGTATTTCTTGTTGAGTATTTTTATTTGATAAAAAAAAATTTCCAATTATCATTTATATAATATGTTAAATTTTCATCTCAAATTCATGTTCAAAATGTTAGAAAATCAAACTAGGACTACTAAAAATGAATGGAGGGAGTAATTCCCAAGAAAAGAACTGCTAATTCATTGTTTCCTAGAGTGCCCAGTCCAATTAGTTGTGTTAAAGTTCCATTTATCTGTTACATTAATATGAAGGGGTTCAGGCTTGATACATTCTAGTTGAGGTAAACTCGATTTCAAAAAGGGCTGGAAATCTACCAATTAAGTGCTTATGACTGAATCCTACAAGAAAAATCCCCATACAGTGATGAAAACCGGCATACACAGCTTCTAAGCAAAAGAATTTTGCAGAAAAGTACTTGCAAACAACTACTAGAGGTTTAACAAAACCCTAGATGCAGAAACAGGGCAAAGTAAAAGAGAGAGAGAGAAAACCTGTGATGGTGCCGTGAACAACAGTTCCGTTCTTGAGCTCAATAGACACGGTCTCGTTGTTCAACTTCATCAAGAACCTGCTTGAAATTATCAACCAAACAGCGGTCAGAGATCGCTGTAGTCGTTAATACTAAGCCGCAGAACAAGCAGAGTAGAGATGAAAAAGAAAGAGAAGAAGAGCGAAACTGACCTGACGAGCTTCATTGTCGGCGAGGAAGAAGAGAGCTAGGGGTTGAAGCAAAGGCAGTCGGACAGTGCGGAATCGAGGGAAGAGGGACTTCAGTGGAAGAAGAAAATGGGGCGCTGCTACAAGTAAAAAACGTTGGGTGAATTAGGGCTCGGGCGAGGGCCGCGGCGTCTCTGCCCGCATCCTTACGAAGAGGGCCCTTTTTTTTTTTTTTTTTCTTTTTTTAAATGATTAAGAAAACCTTTTTCTACTGCTTTTTAT